ATAATCACATATAGTTAGATGGCTTGGTGGTTATGACTTTTGTCTTTTTATTTGATTTCTCAAGGTCGAATCCCCTTGGGCATGTGTTGCATTCTACTAACAATTTCTTTTACTAAATTTATTATAGAAACCTAAAAAAATAAATTTTTGAAAAATGGAAGTGTTATTTCCAAAATTTGTACGCATTTATTAATTTTTAGACTGATAACCAAATCTTTTATTTTATTTATGAATTTTTATATTATAAATCATGTAATGTACTATTTTTCTTACAGTTGTCAATAATATATTTTAAATTAAATAATATTATAAAATATTTTAAAATTGTTATTATTTGTTTAATAAAATAATTATAAAATGTAAACTAATAATTATAATTTCAGTATATAATATTATAATTAGTGAGGTTGTAATAATTTTGGATTATAGTTAGTTAGGCTGTAATAGTTTGGGTTTTTTTAGCGGATTAGGGTTTTTCGCCTAAACGAGATTTTAATGGCCATTCTTTGATTGATTAGTCTACTCTTTATAATAGTCCATATATAATTATATATTTTATCCATGATAATTCTATGATTTTTTTTTTATGTAATGCAAATTTAAAAGTTAAAATAAGTTTATACAGGGAAAGAGCATCTCAATATTCACAAATTGATAAAAAAAATGAAAGTTAATAATGTAGTACCCTCATTTTTTATTGGATTCCTAAAAAACAACATTTATAATGAATTTTAATAATTTTTTCGGATTTTTTTGAAGCTTTAATCCTACCGATTCAGCCGATTTTCGATCCGGATCGTCGATTCGCCGATCCGGATCGATTTTTGAGGTGCCTGATTCGGGTCACCGATCCGCTTTTTAAACCATTGGTTTTGGATGTTATTAAGGGAGAATTTTTGTGGGTGCTATTTTGGAAGGTCCTTTTGGAGCTTTCGGATGGTTGGTTGTTAATGTCTATGGTCCGAATGATGTCTCTATTAAATCTGGTTTTCTTGATGCTTTGACTAATATTATCTAGAGCTATGATCTTCCTGTTTGTTTGGGGAAAGGGGGGGGGAAGGGGGGGGGGGGAGGGGATTTCAATTTCATTCGATGGCCAGATGAAATTAGTTCTAATACTCCTCTCAATTCTTATATGCGGTTGTTCAATCATTTCATTCATCGTAATTTGCTGATGGATCTTCCATTGAATGAGACTGTTCTTACTTGGACAAATAATTTAGTGAATAATTTGATCATGAGTAAGTTGGATAGATTCTTGATTAATGGGGCTTGGGAATCTCAATTCTCATTAGCCAAGGTTAATGCTTTGGGTAGATTTTCATCGGACCATACAACTATTCTTATCCTGACTGAAAACTCTGTTTTGGGACATAGGCCTTTTAGAATGGATGTGGTATGGTTGGAAGATCATGAAGTGCGTGATATTATTAGAAATGCTTGGATAAGTAATGTTGTTATGGGCTAGGCTGGCTTTAGACTGTTTAAGAAGTTGATTATTGTCAAGCATAAGTTACTTCAGTGGAAAAAAAAGAAGGAATTTTTGTATAACAAATAGGTATACGAAATGCTAATCGTATTCAAAATATAGATGTTTCTTCTTTGAATAATGGAGTGATTACAAATGTTTTGGCTATGGAGAGGATGAATTTGGTTAGGAACTTGCATAATTTGATGAGAATGGATGAAATATATTGGAAACAAAGATCGAGAGTCAAGTGGTTGAAAGAGGGGGATCTTAACACTAAATTCTTTCACTCTATTGCCAATGTCAGGCGTTGACAAAATGATATTTCTGGTATTGAATTTAGTGGTATAGATAATAATGAGCATGTAGCATGTGAGAATGAATTTGTTAACCATTTTAAAAAGGCCTTCACTAGTGAGCTTCATTTTCGGGTTCATTATGAGGGACTCCCTTTTAAAATACTTTCATCAGTGGAAATAACTTTTTTGGAAAGGAGGGTGGATATGAATGAATTGAGACATGTTGTTTTTGCATTGCCTAGAGATAAGGTTCTTGGGCCAGATGGTTTCCCTTTGATTTTCTTTCATAAATTCTGGGATTTGCTTAATGATGAAGTTTTGTTGATGGTTAATGAGTTTTTGCTTTGGGGATCGTTGAATAATGGTATAAATTTAACTTTCATTGCTTTGATCCCTAAAAAATCCTCAATTGCGAGTATTAATGATATCCGACCGATTAGTCTTTTGACTAGCCTCTATAATATCATCTTCAAAGTTTTAGCTGAAAGATTAAAAATGGTTCTTCCTAGTATTATTTCAGGCACTCAATCGACATTCATCAAGGGTAGAATGATTATGGCTAGGGTTCTGATTGCCCAAGAGTGCATTCATGCAAGAACAGAAAATGGGACACCTTAAACTCAACATGGAAAAAGCATTTGACCGTATATAATGGGTTGTATTAGATGAAATCCTTATGCGAATTTTGGTGTTAAATGGCTATAGTGGATTTCAGGATGCTTGTCTTCAACACATTTATCAGTTTTGGTTAATGGTTCTCCCTAAGGTTTTTTTCAGGTTTCTAGGGGCATTAGACAAGGAGACCCTTTATCCCCTTTCCTCTTACTTTGGTGGGTGAAGCATTCAGTTTGATGATTAAAAATGTGGTGGATAGTCATATTTTTTCTGGTGTTCAAGTGAGCCCTAACGGTCCATCAATCTTTCATCTATAATATGCCGATGGTACGCTAGTTTTTTGTGAGGCAAACTCTCAACAAGTGTTGAGTATTCGGATTTGCTTTGGGTCTTAAAGTTAATTTCACTAAAACATTTATTATTGGGGTTTGTTGTGATCAAGTTGTGGTGGAAATATTGGCACAATTGCTTCAATGTAAAGTTGAATCATTTCCAATTACATATCGGGGTATGCCTCTTTCAGATTCTAGGTTGCCTAAGGAGGTTTGGGATCCGGTGATTAAGAGAGCTAGTTCTAAACTTGATATTTGGAAATCAAAACATTTATCGTTAGGAGGAAGAGTAACTTTGATTAAGTCTTCTTTTTCTAACCTCCCTATTTATCAAATGTTAATGCTTCTCATGCCTGCAGATATCATCAAGAATTTGGAAAAGTTGATGAGGGACTTTTTGTGGGGATCTGATGATGAAACGAAGAGATATCATCTTGTTAGTTGGGATAGAATTTGTACACCCAAGGCTGAGGGGGGATTGGGGATTCGAAAATTAAAGCTTGTCAATCAATCTCTAATTGCAAAATGGTGGTGGCGGTCTTTGAGTAGGGATGGTAATCTCTGGATTGATGTCTTGAAAGCCAAATATGGAGTTGATCCATGTTATAATATGGTTGCAGTAGGTCATGTTGGTAGATAGTCAACCATTTGGAGGACAGTAGTGTCTATGCGATCTTTTCCTTTGCCATTTAAGATGGACAGTGGGTAAATGTGATATGGCTTTGTTTTGGCACTCGAAATGGGCATCTGACCTCCCATTGAAAGCATTTTTCCCTGATATTTATCATAGAAGGTTGCAACAGATGGCTACCGTGCATGAAGTAGGTAGTAGCAGTGGGCAGTCCACTGTATGGAATGTTACTTGCTTATACAATAGATTACCTGTTGTTGCCTTTGATCAATATTTGGAATTGCAAAGTGTCTTGGGGAATTTTTTTATCTCAAGTTTTGAAGGGATGCTGCCATATGGGAGTTGGAATCTGATGGTGCCTTCTTGGTAAGGTCAACGTATGATATTTTGTTCCATGATCGTGTAAGATGGAATCATCCTTTTTTAAAAGATATATGGAGTTGGAAAATCCCTCATAAAGTGCAAGCTTTTGTTTGGATTTTAGCACAAAGTAAATGCTTAACAGGGGACAAGTTGCAAAAACGAGGTAAGATCATGGTTAATGTTTGTCTTGTTTGAAAAAGTAATGAGGAAACGTATGATGACTTGTTTTTACTTTGTCCTGTTACTTCTGCACTTTGGTATTGGGTTTTGCAAAAAGTTGGGTTTTCTATGAATCTCCTTTTATCTTTTTGGCATATTGTGAATCAATTGAAAATTGTTGGAGTTCCAAAGGTTGGGGGAATTCTTTGGAATATGTTTTGTGGTTCATTGTTATGGGAAGTATGGCTTGAAAGAAATAGGATGACCTTTGAAGGCGTGGCAGTGGCTTTGGCAACCTTAAAGAATAAGATCTTACTCAATACATGGAATGGTTTAGAATTACTAAAGAAGGTTGGGGGACTTCAAGAATGGATGTAGATGAGAATCTTGATCAACTAATCTCGTTAAGATTTATTAAGGTGAAGCCAAGAAGCAGCTGGCAGCCTCCTTTGAGTGGTTGCTTTAAATTGAATGTTGATGGCTCTTCTATAGGAATTCCAGGTAGGGCTGGGGTGGGTGGAGTATGTAGGGACTCAAGTGGGAATTTAGCTTTCTGTTTTACAGAACTGTGTGGTGATGCTACTGCGAACTATGCTGAAATGGCAGCGGTCCTGCAAGGTATCAAGCTATGGAAGGAGATGAGCTTGGGGGACTCCCTATTTGTGGAAATGGACTCTAAGAATGCGATGGACTGGTGTAACTGCTTATCTATTACACCTTGGCGTATGAGATATATTTGGTTGCACATTAAAGAATTATCTGCTGGCAACAACATTACCTTCAACCATATATATAGAGAGGCTAATACTTTGGCAGATGACCTTGCTAAGAAGGGGGCATCCCTTCCCTCGTTAAGGGTTTCCCTTTCTTTGTTCTAACTTTGGTTTCCTTGTTGCAATTTCTATGTTGTTATGGTTGTAATGATTCCATGATTTAAATAATATTCAACACTCTTATCAAAAAAAAAAAAGAGCATAAGAAGAGGATAAGAGAATAAAAATGTTAAATAAAATAAGAACAATCAGGAGTGATAAGACCAAAACAGAAGCAAAACGAAAAAACACAAAGGCTCCAAAAACCAGAGAGCCCAAACTTTTTTCAAGGTCCTGAAATAAAAAATGCTGACTAGGCTTTCTCACTTCTTTTCCCCCTTCTTTCTCTTGCTCGCTCTTCAGATCTACCATCTCTATGTTTTTTTCTCTCTAATTCCTCCACTATCTTTTTTCTCCGTGATCGACCCACCTTATTTGTGATTCTCTTTGAGTACATTGGCTCTCTCATCCTATTATTTTGCCCCTCGTTTGAATTTTATTCATTTATTTTAGGAGTAATAGTTGCTTTTCTGTCGTCGTGGTCATTGTATTGGATAATGCAGGAAAATGCGGACCCTCCACAAATTGATCCACCAGAGAGAGGAAAGAGAGAAGGTTCATCGGATCAAAGAGCTCCCCTTTATCTAATTGCCGAGTGTGAGACTAGATAGGTTTGTTGCTTTTTTTTTTTTTCAACCGTTTCAATGGGTTGATTTTTACCGCTTTACCAAGGACGTGGCACTGCATCTTTCCTCGAGATGCAAATGGAGATCGGACAGTAACAAAATGGGGTCCTATACAGCCTGTATATGGGAGGACCTAATAAGATCATTACTTAAAAAATAAATATATTTTAAAAATTAGAAAAGATATTTTTTGGAGAAAATATTTGAATTGTCTATTTTACTTTTTCTTTGAATGATTATTATTTATGTGACCAAATTTTGGTGGATGGTGTAGATCTTTCAAGCCCACATAGTATCAAATGCAAGCTTGGACACACTAAACAATTTCCCTTTACATATACTAATGGAAAAAGTTTAAGTTTATATAAGGTCACAACCTTAAAATGTAAAAGTACAGATGCAGCTCAAAACTCCATTGGAAAAAGGTTGTTTTAATGTTGAAAAACTCTTTCATTGATCATCTCACTATCAAGATGTATGAATATGACAACAATAAATAAAGATTTTGAGTCTTAAAAATATTATATCTTGAAACACGTTATCTAGACCATCCATTTTCAAGATTTTCATATATTTATAAATCTACTTGATTTTAAATATTTTTGGTATTTAAAATTTTATAATGAGATATGAAAATAGATTTTGAGATAATCTTAAGAATTTTTTACACCAAAGTTATATGTTATGATAAAATTTGGAAGTGCGCCTTAATTGGATTGTTTAAGGTTGCAACCTTATAGAAACCACGACTCATGCAAAACTAAGTATCATGACAATTCCAATATTTGCGTATTAAAGGACCCAAACGTATGGGAAAAACTTGTTTGGCCTCTCCCTCTCTTGACAAGGAAATTTGTTGGTGCTCATTTTGAAAACCCATTTGATAAAAAATGTAAATTTGCTTTGAAAGTTTTGATTATAGGGTGTTGAAATTTAAATTTTTTTACATCTGTGCACTCTCGAAGCAGGATGGTCGTGGCTACTTTTTGTCCCAATGTTGGCGCCCTCCCAATCGCAGAGAGTTCAAGTTCCTTAGTAAGGTTGCTGATTTTTCAGCTTTAATCTCCATTAACGTCACTTTTTAACTTGGTTTTCACTTGCTTCACCTTTTGAGTTGGGTTTTAATATGAAAAAAAAAAAAATATCTTCATACTTTTTATTTTGAGGTTTTATTTTCAATACACTTAAGGTTTTAAAATATATCTTGAGACATAAAAATTGTAGATTTTATTTTTTCTAACTCATTAGTTACTTTAAACATGTTTTTTTTAAGCCAAACAAATCTCGAAAGATATACTTTTTCTAAAAGCTTTCCTCCCAAACTTCTTTCTATCTCTCTCCCCGCACATTTTCTCTATCTCTCCATCTTTTCCATCTAACCCTTCACTTCTCTCATCCTACTCTCTCGCTCTTCATGTTTTTCATCTCTCTTCTCATTCTCTCTCCTCCCAAATACAAAGTAGAAAAAAAGAGAATGCACGTATAGAGGAAAACAAGCTTGAATCCATCTCTCTCCCCTCACTCACTGTTCTATGGGTTGGCCAGCTTTTTCAGCAGTTGGAAAAGCAAAAAATAAGAGACTGAGAAAAATAAATTGACAGAAAAGGAGAGAACCATCATACAGAAAAGGAGGATCGACATTCTACAAATCGAAGATATGCATAAATGGAAGAAGTAAATTAGAGAGAGAGGCTACATTGGATTATTTCAATCAATTCAAACAACAACTGCCTGTTTCATTCTCTGCCTATGCATGCAGGGGCTTTCAACTAGAGAGGGAGAGAGAGATTTGCATTACCCTAACGTGGTTCTTGTAGTAGCCTTTAACAACACGATTTGTGTAAAAATCATCGTCAGAGTTCGAAGATTGGCCCTGGTTCCTGGCCCACTGAACATACGGAGGCCCTCCTCCAAGGTCTTTGTAGTTGTTCACAAAACTCCGTATCAAACGAATGCCATATCTCCTAGCCTCTGAAATCACAAAATCCAGCCCATGCCACAAAACCCACATCTCATCAAGCTAAAAAAAAAAAAGGAGCAATGAATACAAGTAATTCTCCATGAATAACACGATGAAATATGGATTTGTTGATTCAAGTTTACCTTGAACATATCTTCAGTTTAGGAACCAAGAGAAATTTGCAGAGGCAAGTAACCTCCATCACTGAAAGCCCAAGTCCTTGCTACAGTTAAGCCATAGCTTGAAGCTCGTTGAAAAACAAAAGTTACTTTACCCAGGGTTAGAGGCCATTTGCATCAACCAGTATGCATTGAAGCCATTAACATAAAAAGGGGAACCATTAACTATGAAATGGGTATCTCTGATTTTCACAAAACCACCTTGAGCTAGAGCACTTGGATTTGGTGCTATCCAAAATCACCAACATTGAGATATTTCCAAATAATATGGAATTGAGATATTCCCATGTGGGATCGAGATATTTTATTAAAGATTGAGATTAATATTGATAAGTTTCCAAAAAAAAATAGAAATCCAAAACGATTAGGACTCTTGGATTTATCTCTTGATCTTTTGAAATATATATAACATTTATAGGAAATTTCTTATTTACTATGGACTCTTAATATTATATATATGAGATGAAAGTACAGATACTTCGTGTGCCATTTTTGGGTCAGCTTGGGAATGGTGGTTCTTCTAGAGAAAGAGGGAGCTAGATCCTCATACGTAGAAGATGCAATTTCCTTTTAGATAGAAGAGAGCTTCCTATGAAGAGAAACATTGATGATGCCTCTTGAAGACTCCTGTATAGAGATTGGTTTTTTGTAAAGAAGCGGTTCCCATGGACATTTTGTATTGTTTCCCCTTCTAGTGAGATAAAGTCTCATTTGTTCTCTCAAATTTCTTTTCCTTGACAAATATCTAATTACGAAATAGAGAGAAGAGATCAACAGTTGTGATTTCAGTTTACCATACCTGTGGATGTAACCATTTTGCGGTGAACCACGTAAATATTTGTATTCTTGTGGTATATGTTTCATACTTTATTTCTCGTACTTTATTTGCCAAATATTGACCCATAGGGTTTGGTATGTGTTTCATACTTTATTTCTCATACTTTATTTGTCAAATATTAACCCATCAGGTTTATTGCTTTCACGTGAACAACAAGTGGTATCAGAGCACAACAAGTGGTATTAGAGCTCAACAAGTGGTATTAGAGCCTGGTAGCCCGGTTTGGGGTTTTCAGAATGGCAGGAAAGGTTTCGAATATAAAGTTCATGGTCGAGAAATTTGATAGCAAGCATTATTTTTCAACAAGAATGATGAAAAAATTTATTTTGCAAAAGATGAAGAATTCATGAAGCTATCCAATTGATGTTGGCATAGTGAGCAAGTGATTTTGATATCAAGGTGAAGATTGTTGGATTTGGTGATATCCCAAAACACAAACATTGAGATATTCCAAACTTATGTGTAATTGAGATATTCCCATATTAGGTGGGATTGAGATATTCCCTTAAAGATTGATATTAATATTGATAAGTTACCTAAAAGAAATAGAAATCCAAAAAGATTAGGACTCTTAGATTTATCTCTTGGTTTTTTGAGATATATATAATATCTATAGGAAGTTTATTATTTACTATGTACTGCTAATCTTATATATAGAAGATGAAAGTACAGCGAATTTGTGTACCCTATTTGGGTCACCATATGGGAATGATGGTTCTTCTAGAGAGAAAGGGAGCTAGAGCCTTCTATACATAAGATGCAATTTTCTCTTAGAGAGAATAGAGCTTTTTATGAAGAGAAACATTGATGATGCCTCCTGAAGACTCTTGTTGAGATATTGGTTTCTTGTAAAAAAGCGGTTCTCATGGAGATTTTGGGTTGTTTCCTCTTCTAATGAGATAAAGTCTCATTTACTCTCAGTTTTCTTCTTTGACAATGGTCTAGTTATGGAATAGAGATGAGAGATCGGTAGTGGTGCCGTTTGGGAGAGCAGGTTG